GTGTTTCCATACAAATTGTGAAAATTTTTGTTCTAGTTCTGTGAAAAATGCCCGTGGTAGTTGGATAGGGATTGCATTGAATGTGTAGATTGCTTTGGGTAGTAGAGTCATTTTCACAATGTTGATTCTTCCAATCCAAGAACATGGTATATCTTTCCATCTATTTGTATCATCTTTAATTTCTTTCATCAGTGTCTTATAATTTTCTGCATACAGGTCTTTTGTCTCCTTAGGTAGGTTTATTCCTATTTTATTCTTTTTGTTGCAATGGTAAGTGGGAGTGTTTTCTTGATTTCACTTTCAGATTTTTCATCATTAGTGTATAGGAATGCCAGAGATTTCTGTGCATTAATTTTGTATCCTGCTACTTTACCAAATTCATTGATTAGCTCTAGTAGTTTTCTGGTAGCATCTTTAGGATTCTCTATGTATAGTATCATGTCATCTGCAAACAGTGACAGCTTTACTTCTTCTTTTCCGATTTGGATTCCTTTTATTTCCTTCTCTTCTCTGATTGCTGTGGCTAAAACTTCCAGAACTATGTTGAATAAGAGTGGTGAGAGTGGGCAACCTTGTCTCGTTCCTGATCTTAGTGGAAATGCTTTCAGTTTTTCACCACTGAGGACGATGTTGTCTGTGGGTTTGTCATATATGGCCTTTATTATGTTGAGGAAAGTTCCCTCTATGCCTGCTTTCTGCAGGGTTTTTCTCATAAATGGGTGTTGAATTTTGTCAAAAGCTTTCTCTGCATCTATTGAGATGATCATATGGTTTTTCTCCTTCAATTCTTAAAGTAATCTTACTCTGAAACAACCTACTAAGCCATTCCACAAAGTGATCCCTTAAAAACTGAATTATACTAGATTACTCTGTTACCAAAAAAAAAAAATCATTTAGTGACTTCCCATCACTTAGAATAAAATGCACAAATATTACCCTCTTTGGAAGATCATCGTTTTCTGACCCCTTTCTGTAAATCTGAATTTAAGTTGTATCACTCCTGATTTGTTCTGGAGTTGTATTTTTTCTGTATCACTAACATTCCAAGTTGATTCCCATGTTGGGATTACTGCACTGTTCCTTTTACTTAAAATTCTTCAACTAGTCAACAAGGTTAGTTGCTTCTTATTTTTCCATTTTAAGCTCAAATATCCTCTTTACTGCAAAATCTTCTCTGATTAATCTAAAGTACATTCCCCATAATAACTCTATATAGCACCATTGTTATTTTAATGGTAATGTATATCACTCCTCAATATCTAATCACTTCATTCGTTTGTTTACTGTCTTCATAAGAATGGGCACCTCATTTATCTTATTAGTATATCCCCAAAGCATAAAATAGTACTTAATCCTGTGGTAGGTGTTCAATATTTGTTAAATAAATTAAGGTGTGAATGAAAGAGTGTAGAAATCAAGGTAACGTCATGCTTGGAGGTATCAATCTGGAAGTCATCAGATAGATAGTATCTGAAGTCAAGGGATCCAATGAGATTTCGAAGTGCATAGATACATGGACATGGGCCATGGGGATTTCCAACATGTGGAGAGTAAGCAGATGAGAGGTTAGCAAAGAATACTGAGAAAGAGCAGCCAATAGATAAAAGGTATATCAGGAGAATGTAGTCTTGAGATCCAAGAAACAAACAAACAAAATTCCATGAATGGTTAGGGAAAGGTTAACTCTACTTTACACCACCAAGAGGTTGAGTAAGATGATGATGAGATGGAACCAAACACTGTATTTAGCAACCTGGAGATCATAGGTTATTTGACACAAATCAGTTTCAAGTGTTTTGGAGACAGAAAATTGAGAGAACTGGGTTAAAATGAAGGGTAAACATAAAATGAGGGAAAGCACAGAAAACTCTTTGAAGACTCTTTGGTGAGAAAGTAAACAATTCATTAGGAGAGCTGGATGGGGTGGAACATCCTGGTTGAGGGAGAAATACTGTTCAAGGGAACAAACTTGTCTTCAAGATGATACAAACTCCAGCATGTTTTTGTTATGGGTCAAAATTAATTACTAGATAAGGCAATAGTATGGAGGTAGGAAAAGTGACCAGTTTCAGGGATATTTTTAAAGTACACTGAATAAAACATTGATGAATTAAATACAGGATGTGAGAAAAAGGAGAACCAAGACTAATTCCCAGGTTTGTGGCTTGAGCAATCAGCGAGATAGGGATAACTGGGGAGGAGAGGGTGTGGGGTAAAGTAGTTGGAAATGAAGACTTCTATCTTGAACATGGTAGGTTTAAGACCTCTCTTAGGCCCAAATAGAAATATTTGATAGGTATTTAGATATACACGTGTCAAGCTTAGAGGAGACTTTATAGCTGGACATATAAACTTGGGAGTTGTCAACCTATACATAGGATTTAAAATTATAGGGCTAGATGAGACCCCCTCCACCCCGTTCAAGGGAACATAAATAGAGAAAAGAAACTAAGGAGTCAATCTCAGGCACATCGACATTAGGGGCTGAAAGAGGAGACTAAGAGCAAATAGGCAGTGAGGTTAGAAGAGAAACAAGAGAGCACAGGGTCTCTGAAAGAGGATGTAGCCACCTGCATCAAATGCTGCTGATATGTCAAGCATATGTGAAATGAAAATGGATAGTTGGATGTAGTAAGATAAAGGACTTTTTTTTATCTTCATAAGAGATTTAGTGGATTTTTTCAGAGAGAAAGATAATTTGAGTGAAAGAAAATAGGAAGTAAAGAAGAACTATAGGCATATCTTTTGAGGGATTTTGCTATAAAAGTGAAAAGATAAATCAGGTGGTTTCTAAAGGAAGATGTAGGATGGGAAGAGAGGATGTTAATAAGAGACACTTCAGCATAAATATATGCTGAAGGGAGTGATCCAGCAGAGAAAAAGAAATTGATGATGTAGGAGAAAAAGTGGACAACTGCAAAAGCAAATTGTTTGAATAGGCAAGAGAGTGAGGTCCGTTGCTGAAACAGAGGAGAGACACATAGTTTATCCACCAAAACAGTAGTGAAGGTTAAGGTATGTGGATACAAATGCAATAGGTTGGGTGAATAGATATTGGGAAAATGAAATTATCTTCTAATGGCTCCCAAGTTTTCAGTGAAATAAAAAGCAAGGCCCTCTTCTGAGATAAAGGAAAGGAAGAAGCTGTTGGGGCTTTGCCAATGAGTACAAGAAAGAGTGGGACAAGAAACAGAGGGTGTATGCAAGGAGTAATGATGGAGATTAACTATAATGTCTAACCAAGGTAAAAAGAGAAGTGAGTACATAAAGCAGTAAAAAATGAGGTTAAAGAATTATTGAAGTATGGGTACAAGAGGAAGTCAGAGAGTAAATCCTTGAGAGTGAGATTTTGGAGACAGTGCCATTACAATTAAGTCCAGGTCTGAAATATCACCACAAATAACAGTAGCTGAAAAAAATCTTAAAATCTTAGGTGTGTTTTTGTAAAAAGCCTATAACCATATTTTTAATTCAACCTTTATAATCTGCCCTTTAACCAGAAAGTCTGACCTATTTTACATCTACTGTAACTAATGATAAAATTATATTTAATTCTACTCTTTTATATTTTCTGTTTATCCTGCCTTTTCTATGCTTTTTATTTTCTTTTCCCCTGGCTTCTATTGAATTGATCAAGGTTTTTTTATTCCCGTTTTTTCTTCTCTTAATGGTTTAGAAGTTATAAATTCTATCCTTCTAGTTCTTATCCATAAACTTATCAAAATACATATTTAACCATGTCAAAAATTAATCAGTACCTATTTCCTCTTACCAAACAATCTAAGGTCCATAAATGCTATAGATCTACTACAGTAATGCCTTTCATACTGTTATTTTCTATGGCTTCCAAATTCTCAGTGAAATAAAATCAAGGACATCTTCTGCCTGGTTTTATAAGTCCTAAAGTAGTCATTATAATGCTTTTATATAATAAATGCTTGTTTAGATTTGTTGACATGTTTAGTAATTCCTTTGTTCAATGAGATAAACTGAACATTCCTTAAATGCTATTCCTTAAATGGCAAAATGAAAGCTAGTCAACAAAATATTTTTTTTGTTTTGTTTTTTATTTTTTATTTTTATTGGAGTATAGTTGATTTATTACAATGTTGTGTTAGTTTGAGGTGTACATCAAAGTCAATCAGTTATACATATAAGTATAGCCACTCTTTTTTTTTTTTTTTAGATTTTTTTTCCCATATAGGCCATTACAGAGAATTGAGTGGAGTTCCGTGTGCTATACAGCAGGTTCTGACTAGTTATCTATTTTATATATAGTAGTGTGTACATGTCAGTCCCGATCTCCCAATTTATCCCCTCCCCCCTCTTATCCCCTGGTAGCCACAAGTTTGCTTTCTACATCCATGCCTCTACTTCTGTTTTGTAAATAAGTTCAGTTATACCCTTTTTTTTATATTCCACATATAAGCAGTATCATATGATATTTGTCTTTCTGTGTCTGACTTACTTGACTCAGTATGACAATCTCTAGGTCCACCCATGTTGCTGAAAATGCCATTATTTTGTTCTTTTTTATTGCTGAGTAATATTCCATTGTGTATATACACCACATCTTCTTTATCTATGCCTCTGTTGGTGGACATTTAGGTTGCTTCCATGTCCTGGCTACTGTAAACAGTTCTGCAATGAAAATATTTCTTATAATACTGAAAATTTATTAAAGCCATTTGATCCAATCAAACCTTTTTTATAATATTGAAAAGGTATTAAGCCATTCTATCCAATCAAAACCAAAAAAAAAAAAAAGGTAAACTGAAAGGATGTTTGTTCATTGACTGTCTCAGCCATTTGACAAACTGGCTTGCAGAAAATAGTCTCTCAACATACATTTAGCAAATTAGCTTTTGGAGAACGGATTTTTAGCAAATTGGTATGAGTAAATTTTCCTGCTTCTGACGAGTAGCCTTTCTAAAATCCTGTTATGGACAATGGCCAGATCAGAAAAGGGTGTCTTATGTACAGCACACTAAGGTCTGTGAGAGTGTCTAAATCCTGCTGTGAATGAGTTCAAGGCCAAAATGTTGGCATTTTTTAGTAAGTAGTTCAGTCAAACTCTGTGTTAATATTCACCATGTAGATAATAGATAGAAGTTTTTCGTGGCCATCTTCCATTTTTAAAGCTGGACTACATAGGGAAAGATGTAGGTTTATAAATGTGGAAATTCATCACAATAACTGATATGACCTACAAAATAAAATAAATATAAGAAAAGTACATTTTAATTTTTTTCTAGGTTCACCTATACTTCCAAAAGATGTCTACTCTCCTGGAAAACATCACTGCCATCATCAAACTATTTCACGAATATTCAAAAACAGATAAGGAGACTGACACATTGAGTGCAAAAGAGCTGAAGGAACTTCTGGAAGCAGAGTTTCAGCCAATCCTGAAGGTAAAAGATATTTGCCAGCATTAAAGGGTGTATCATTTTTGTTCTGCATCAAACAATCTGTCAAAATATTACTGTGAAATCTTTATGAGTTGTTTCTTTTGGAAGAGGAACAAATGTAATCTTATTTCAAAACAGATATAATTTGTTCAAATTCTTTATATCTCTATATATACTACACACACACACACACACACACACACACTGTGAAAAAATATATATAAATATTTAGTGACAAATAAGTGAAAAACAGTTAGTTAATTCATTGTAATATTCCCCCTAATTTCAAGAATGTAAAGAGGGTACAACTAAAAGACAATTCAGTTAAGGAATTTATAAAATACTGACATTTGAAGAAGTAAAAAGAACTTGCCCCATCAAATTTTTTGTGTCACCATACTAGTGTTTAAGATTTATTTTTCATTTTTTATTTATTTATTTTTTTTGCGGTACGCAGTCCTCTCACTGTTGTGGCCTCTCCCATTGCGGAGCACAGGCTCCGGACACGCAGGCTCAGCGGCCATGGCTCACGGGCCGAGCCGCTCCGCGGCATGTGGGATCTTCCCGGACCGGGACACGAACCCGCGTCCCCTGCATCGGCAGGTAGACTCTCAACCACTGCGCCACCAGGGAAGCCCAAGATTTATTTTTTTTTAGGACAGTACCAACAGCTCCCTGCTGAGTCAGGATAAGATAAATATTATTAAAGAAAAAATTAGGTTCTACTTTCCTGTACCAAGAATTCACATTCCCTAAGTTAACTTTAATTATTTAATTACCCATTTGAGTCAGTCTCATGGATTTTCCCTCTCTGTCTTCCTTGTATACAGAATCCAGATGACCCAGATACTGCTGATGTTTTCATGCATATCCTCGATGTAGATCACAACCATAAAATAGACTTTACAGAGTTTTTCCTGATGGTATTCAAGTTGGCTCAAGCATATTATTATACCCAGAGACCGAATTTCAAGACATTAGGGAAAAAGCAGAAAAAGAATAGATACCATTATGAAGATGATACAGAAGAAGAGGGTAAAGAAGAAAGAGAAAGAAAGTCCAGTCATTCAAGAAGTGATGGAAAGAAAGAAGATAGAACAGAGGAAGAGGAAGAAGGAAGAAGCAGACATGGGTCTAGTTCTGGAAGGGAAGGAAGACACAGAAATAGATCTGGGAAGAAACGTCATGAATCAAGTAGGGAAAAGAAAAGGAGAGCGAGTTCTACTGAACTAAAAGAAAGAAGTCACACGTCAAGTGTTAGCCCCATCAGGGAATATGAAGGAAAAGAAGAAGAACGTGGTTACGAAAATAAAGATAGAGGATGTGAAAAATGGATAGGATCAGAGCCTAAGGGCTCATATCAAGTTTGTGAAGAAACTGTGACTATGGATTTTCAGTCCGGTTGCAGTACACAGCAGGTTTCCAGTATCAGTAAGGGCAGCGACAGCAAAGAACATTCACAAGATTCAGGTAGACAACCAGTGATCACTCATGGAAGGTCGCCATCCAGCTCAAGGAACCAACATGGGTCTTCCCACGACCAGTCAGGAGACAGCCCTAAGCACTCAGAGTCACATCAAGGGAGGACAGACACACACAGGAAGAGTGAATCTGTCCATGGAAAGTCAGGATCCAGCACTACGCAAAGACAGGGGCGCCAACATGAGCAGGAAAAAGACAGCTCCAGACCCTCTGGAACTGGACATGGACACGCCTCAACTGGATCCGGAAGCAGTAGGCACAGGGAATCCAGTGTTGGTCAGTCCAGTGACAGCGAAATACAGTCAGGAAATTCAGGTAGATATTCTGTGACCACTCATGGAAGGTCTGGGTCCAGCTCAAAGAACCAACATGGATCTTCCCAAGGCCAGTCAAGAGACAGCTCTAGGCACTCAGAGTCACATCAAGGTAGGACAGACACACACAAGAAGAGTGAATCTGGCCACAGCAAGTCAGGGTCCAGCACTACTCAGAGACAGGGGCACCACCACGAGCAGGAAAGAGACAGCTCCAGACACTCTGGAACTGGACATGGACACACCTCAGATGGATCCAGAAGTGGGAAAGACAGGGAATCCAGTGTTGGTCAGTCCAGTGACAGCGAAGGACAGTCAGAAGATTCACATAGACATTCTGTGACCACTCATGGAAGGTCTGGGTCAAGCTCAAGAAACCAACATGGGTCTTCCCATGGCCGGTCAGGAGACAGCTCTAGGCACTCAGAGTCGCATCAAAGGAGGACAGACACACACAGGAAGAGTGAATCTGTCCATGGAGAGTCAGGATCTAGCACTAAGCAAAGACAGGGGCACCACCATGAGCAGGAAAAAGACAACTCAAGACACTCTGGAATTGGACATGGACACGCCTCAACTGGATCCAGAAAAAGTAAGCAGAGGGAATCCAGTGTTGGTCAGTCCAGTGACAGTGAAGGACAGTCAGAAGATTCAGGTAGACATTCTGTGACCACTCATGGAAGGTCTGGGTCCAGGTCAAGAAACCAACATGGGTGTTCCCATGGCTGGTCAGGAGACAGCTCTAGGCACTCAGAGTCACATCAAGGGAGATCAGCATACAGGAAGAGTGAATCTGGCCACGGCAAGTCAGGGTCCAGCACTACTCAAAGACAGGGGCACCACCATGAGCAGAAAAGAGACAGATCCAGATACTCTGGAACTGGACATGGACATACCTCAACTGGATCTGGAAGCAATAGACACAGGGAATCCAGTGTTGGTTGGTCCAGCGACGGTGAAGAGCAGTCAGGTGATTCAGGTAGACATTCTGTGACCACTCATGGAGGGTCTGGGTCCAGCTCAAGAAACCAACATGGTTCTTCCCATGGCCGGTCAGGAGACAGCTCTAGGCACTCAGAGTCACATCAAGGGAGATCAGCATACAGGAAGAGTGAATCTGGCCACAGCAAGTCAGGGTCCAGCACTACTCAAAGACAGGGGCACCACCATGAGCAGGAAAGAGACAGCTCCAGATACTCTGGAACTGGACATGGACACACCTCAACTGGATCTGGAAGCAATAGACACAGGGAATCCAGTGTTGGTTGGTCCAGCGACGGTGAAGGGCAGTCAGGTGATTCAGGTAGACATTCTGTGACCACTCATGGAAGGTCTGGGTCCAGCTCAAGAAACCAACATGGGTCTTCCCATGGCCAGTCAGGGGACAGCTCTAGGCACTCAGAGTCACATCAAGGTAGGACAGACACACACAAGAAGAGTGAATCTGGCCACAGCAAGTCAGGGTCCAGCACTACTCAGAGACAGGGGCACCACCACGAGCAGGAAAGAGACAGCTCCAGACACTCTGGAACTAGACATGGACATACCTCAACTATTTCTGGTAGCGGCAGACACAAGGAATCAAATATCAGTCAGGCTAGCAACACAGAAGGACATTCAGGAGATTCAGGTAGACAGCCTTTGACCACCCAAGGATGGTCTGCATTCTATTCAAGGAACCAAAGTCATGGTTCAGATCAAGGTTGGAGACATGGCAGCTATGGCAGTGCAGATTATGACTATGGACAGTCAGGGTTTGGTCATTCTCAGGATGGAAGTGTCAGTCATGATTCCAGCCATATGGGAGCCAGGGACAGATTTGAATATAGGAGCATTTATGGGATCCAATATAACAGGCAGTAACAGACACCCTGCAACATATGGCCATTCAAATTATATTTCAAAACGGTTGAGGTTTGGACAGTCACATAGACACTATTATTATGAGTGAGAAACTATTAAATAAAGTATTAACCCAAAGAATTGGAGAATGACCAAGACAACTTTGAGTCAAGAAAATGTTCATTATACTTTCAGTGAGGTTATCTTTTCTTGTCATTTTTTTAAAAATTAGTTACACTATTTCTTTACATTGGTGATAGTTTCTTTTCATTCTATAGGAAGCTTTGAACTTTATAGTTAGGAACTGGTTAATGGGAGAAAGCAATATCATGGAGTGCTAAATTTGGAAAACCATAAGTATTTGGGGAGGTTGGGGTTAAGTAAGGATTTTTCTTTTGAGAGGTTAAGTTTCAGAACCTCTCCAGATTGGTACATTAATATTTGTAAAAAAAAAAAAAAAAATCAAAGGAACCAATAGTATAAAATCACTGTTCTGTCAGCCAAAGCTGCTATATTAATATTAAGGGTCATCACACTTGCCTCTATTATCCTTCTATTGGAACTCTGTATTATTCTTCATTCATTAATCACCTTGGGCACATAGAATCCACAAAAATTGAACTGCATGAAAACTGAAAATAAAAAATTGATCATATATCATACTGTGTCTCTTCCATGCTTCTCATAGACCCAAAAAGACTTATCTCCCCATAGTAAGAATGACATATTTTCCTCTGTCACTGAAAACTATATGTCCAAATGGCAGATGTTCACCATGCAAAAGAAATAAGGAGTCCAAAGAAGAAAAAATTTAATCAAATCCTATATCATTCTCCAACATAGTCATTGTTCCATGTAGTCACCATCAGGATGAAAAAAGGCTTAGCTCAATCATAGATAGCATCATAATTATTACAAAACATCAACTCGGGGCTTCCCTGGTGGCGCAGTGGTTGGGAGTCCGCCTGCCGGTGCAGGGGATACGGGTTCGTGCCCCAGTCTGGGAGGATCCCAGGTGCCGCGGAGCAGCTGGGCCTGTGAGCCATGGCCGCTGAGCCTGTGCGTCCGGAGCCTGTGCTCCGCAACGGGAGAGGCTACAACAGTGAGAGGCCCGCGTACCGCAAAAAAAAAGAAAACAAAAAACATCAACCCAGTGGCTATTAGCAAAGTCAAACCAAGATCAGGGAACAAAATACTGATCATAGGTCCTTCTTACAAAGATACAAAGAGATATTTTCCAATGGAAACTAATGAGAGCAGAAAAACCATGCTGAAGTTTCTTGACAAAGGAAAAGCGATAAAGAAAATCGTCTCCTGTCCTGGAAAGAAAACATATATTCATATATTTTATGACTAGGCAGGAGATTTAATAATTTTAGTAAAACTGTGAACAAGCTTCTACCATTAAAAGGAATATCTCTCTGTGAGAATCATACCCCAAGTTTTCCTTCTCCATGATATCAGACCAGTAGGAATATTAGACAATATCTAGTCCACTGTTTGCATTTTGCAGATGATTCTATCACAGAAATAATCCATACCAAATACCTCAAGTCCCCAACTCTGAGTTTAGTGGTTTTATAAAACCACTTATAAAAGCTGCTTTGCTTTGACTTTTAGTTAAATAAATTAAGCTAAACCTAAATTACCTGTCAAAGTTAAAATGATCTGCAATGGGGCTTCCCTGGTGGCGCAGTGGTTGAGAGTCCGCCTGCCGATGCAGGGGACACGGGTTCATGCCCTGGCCCGGGAAGATCCCACATGTCACGGAGCAGCTGGGCCTGTGAGCCATGGTCGCTGAGCCTGCGTGTCCGGAGCCTGTGCTCCGCAACGGGAGAGGCCACAACAGTGAGAGGCCCGCGTACCGAAAAAAAAAAAAAAGATCTGCAATGTACACAGGGACTGAGTGAAAAGCAACCAGCAAGCTCATTTTTCTAACTAGTCTCAAACAATATTATGTCTATGTTTGTGCTCCATTAGCCAAATGAAGGGAGCACCACCCACAATGGGAATCCTGCTTCCCTACTTGAAGTACTATCCCCAAATACCCCTACAAAGCTGCAAAGTCCAGACAGTGCCAAGAACACAATCAGCATCCAGTAAATGTTTGCCATTAAGTATGGAATTATAGGCATGATTGAATGAGGGGATGGAGAGTGAGAACCAAGGAAAGAATATTGAGAAAACCCACCATTAAAAGTTCTGCCCAAGTCACATAACAAGTAGGCAGTGGAAACAAAATTTGAAACCCGATTCTATCTTCCAAGTATAAGTTCTTCTCACTGAAAAGGAGAGAGCGTTATCAAAGTTTCAATAGTTCAAATTTCAGGTAAAATGAAGAATAAAATACGTTCATTGATTTTGGTAACTTGACATTTGCAACGTGGAAACAGTTATTTCTGTGGAGAGGTGATGATGTAAACTCTGTTGGAAAGCTTACAAGTGAGTTGGTTTTTAAAGAACTGGAAACAATAAAGGAAGTTCAGAGTAAATATCTAACCACACTTCTCCTGTGAAAAAGCCAAAAATTAATTTCCAACCAAACCCCTTAGGTTTTACCCATCACTAAGTGTCCTGGGATAGAGAGATTTTGGGGGTGAAGGCTGGGAAAACAGTCTGCGGGAGATAATTTTTGAGAATTAAGTAGGGATCATATCATGTAATATCTTGGAAGCCACAGGAAAGAGATTAGATTTCTTTTTTAATTTGTAGTTAAAAAAAACCACGTAACATAAAATTTTATCATTTTATCAATTTTTAAGTACACATTTTAGTAGTATTAAGTATATTCACATCGTTTTGCAACCAACCTCCAGAACTTTTTCATCTGCAAAACTGAAACTCTGTACCCATTAAAAAACAATTCCCTATTTCCCCCCTCCCTGCAGCCCCTGGTAACCACCGTTCTACCTTCTGTTTATCTTAATTTGACTACTAAAGGTACCTCATATAAGTGGAATCATGAAGTAGTTGTCTTTTTGTGACTGGCTTATTTCGCTTAGCATAATGTTCTCAAGGCTCATCCATGTTGTAGCATGTCAGATTTTCCCCTTTTTAAGGCTGAATAATATTCCACTGTATGTATACCACATTTTGTTTATCCACTTGTCTGTTGGATGGACATTTAGGTTTCTTCCACTTTTTGGCTATTTTGAATAATGCTTCTATGAACCTGGTTGTGCAAATATATCTTTCAGACCCTGCTTTCAATTCTTTTGGATTGAAATGGGATTGCTGGATCATATGGTAATTTCATATTTAATTTTTTGAGGCACTATCGTACTTTTTTTCCGTAGGAGCTGTAGCATTTTACATTCCCACCAACAGTGCACAAGTGTTCCAATTTCTCCAGGTCCTCACCAACACCTGTTATTTTTTGTTTTCCTGATAGTGGCTATCCGAATGAGTATGAGGTAGTATCTCATTATGGCTTTAATTTGCATTTCTCTAATAATTGTGGTATTGCACCTCTGATCTTTTACATCATCTTTGGGTAAATATCAATTCAAGTCCTTTGCCCATTTTTTAATTAGTTTTTGTTGTTGTTGTTGATATGTAATAGGACTTCTTCATATATTTTGGATACTAGCACCTTATGAGGTATGTAATTTGTAAATATTTTCTCCTATAACATAGGTTGCCTTTTCATTCTGTTCTACCTTTTGATGCACAAACTTTTTAAGTTTGATGTAGTCCCATTTATCTATTTTTGGTTTTGGTGCCTGTGCAGAAGGCTGGATTTTATTCTGATCTGATAGAAAGTCTTTGAAGAATTTTGAGCAGTGGAGTGATAATAATCTGATTTTTAATTTTAAAAACATTTTAACTGTCTGATGGAGGATCTATCTCCATTGGGATTAAAGGCAAGACTGGAAAAAAAATAACAGGAGTCAATACAAAATATTATAGTAGTTGGGATGAGGGCAGAGATAA